CCCCGGCCCGGGCGGGCGGCGGCGGCGCGGGCGGCGGTGGCGGCCGCCTACAGCCCCCACAATGCCGCGGGGCGCCGAGGGAGCGCGGCGGCTCCGCGCGTCTCACATGGCGGGGGGCGCGGGAGAGGGGTCGGCGGCAGCGGCGCGTTCCCCTCACGGAGTGCGACTCTCCGAGAGCGCCCGGCTGCCCCCGGCCGCGGCACCGGCTGCGGGGGAAACCCTCCCCGGGTAATCGCTATTCGATAATCCGCTGAATGCCCCTTCTCAAAAGTCGTCTCGTTAGGAACAAAATAGCTTTCCAGAATAATCCTTTACTTATTCAATAAAGAGGAGTGAGCGCTTCGCCTTGGCAAAGACCTGCTGCGGCGCTCGCAAACTCATAGTGGAATATTTTATTGCAGCAAGTAACCTGTTCTTTGCTGAAATTCCGGGGGTGGGGTGGTGTTAGACAATCAAAGTGTCCTTAACTGCGGCTGGATCACTGCCAGGAATCCTTAAATTGGTTATGAAATGTCAATAATCCGAGATCGGCTTCACCTGTTACCTTCAGCCACCACTCTGAGAAATTGGGTGCCTGAGGACTGACTGCAGAGCTCTGTCCTGGCTGGAAGGGTCTAAATACGAAGGACAGCACACACAATATTATCAGCACCTTGAGAATTTACTTGTGTCTGGTCTCCTGCACACAGGTAGCAAGGAGAAATTTGTTTCCTCAGACTGACCCAGGATAAATCTACCTGGAAAAGTGATGTGGATAAATAAGCAAAGGCTTCTCAGAATCGGAGATTAACAGAACAGGGCAGGTTGGAGGGACCACTGGGGATCAACCTCCCTGCTCAGGCAGGGTCATCCTAGAGCATCCTAGGTCAATCTGGCACAGGGTTGTGTCCAGATGGTTCTTGAACATCTCCAGTGAGGGAGACTTCACGACCTCTCCAGAAAATCTGTTCCAGTGTGCGGTCACGTGCACAGTAAATAATTTCTTCCTCAAGTTAAGGTGAAACTTTTTGTACATAATTTTCTGCTTTTTGCCTCTTGTTAATGTATAAGGTAGAAGATTGTGTGTAATAGCTGTAAGGCCTAAATGAATGACTGCTGATGCTAGTCTATTAGAAACACATTTAATTAGCAACAGAAACTGATCTGTATGAAGTAGATTGGAAATAATTTTTTTACAAAAAGAAGACTATTTTTTTTAATACCCAAGCCATGAAAAGTGGTTGGAAAATGCCTACAGTCCTTTCAAACTGCTTAGTTAAGATTAATTTTTCATCAAGTGGAGTGAGATAGAAGGCAAACCAATGATTTTGGCCTTTATATATATTCTGCTTTACAAGCAGAAGGAAAATGTGTTGGAAATACATCAGTTTTAGTTTGCTGCATACTTAAAACATATTTAAGATGCAACTGAGTACTTGTCAGCAAATAGTAGTACTAGGGGAAGAATTTACACAAAAATGCTATGATTAATCACTATTTACATTTGACTTGCCTTTCAGCATGTTCAGCTGCAGAAATAAAAACTGGTCCATCTATTAATATTTATTTATATTTGGCTGCATTCCTTGTACCCAATATGACATGTTCTTCCCCCCATGCCACGTGATCTGATGGGGATTGATCTTATAAACATACCTGGGAGTGATTATTTCTTTGCAGGCAAAACAGAGCACCCAATCCTTTAATATCTTATTTTCCCTATGGCATTTCCCTATGGACCTTCAGGGTTCTTAACTGTATTACATACAAAGCAGGAGAAACCTGTTTCTCCATATTATATAAACAGGATATCCAGGTCGAAAGGATTATACATACACATTTTTGTTAGTCAGGTAGGAAATGGTTACTTACACAGTTTAGTTGTAGAGGATTGGCCTTTCCTATTCCATTTTTCTGTTGCATCTCTACAATATTTTTAAAGCCAAAGATTTTACCTAAGCCTCCCAATTTCATCACAATCTATATGATACAGTGTGCACCTGTATGTAAATCATGAGGTGACTTGACCCAACCATTAACCCAATTTCCAGAAGTTCCCATAAGTAAAGAAGTTTCAATTTGCATTCTTGAGGGCTTTTATGAGGACTAGCATTTTGGCAAAGCAAGCTGATATTGGAGTGTCTAAACATGGCTTCAAGGTACTGAGTTTTAAGCATGCTTTTTTAAAATTGCCCATATAAAAATCAGACTTTTTCCAAGATTTAAGAATCATGAATATGTATACTATGAAAAGAAAAATTGATCTGGAATATAACTTCTAGATAATGTTAAATTACTTTTCTGAAAAACTGAAAAAAGCTGAGTTTGGTTATGTTTTGATTTGGGTTATGAGAACTCTCTCTAAAAATACACCATTTTCATTTTGCTCTTTCTGAGCAGATTTACTCTTCTATAGCACAGGCTCAGAGGGTACCTCTGGCACACAAACTGTAGTACAGGCACAACGTGTTGGGCACAAGAGCTGGAGACAGAAGAGACAGAAATTTTATTCCCCAGGCTGCTTGCAAACTTAAGATGCATCTGTTAAATCTGCAGAGTCCCTCTGGACAAGCATCTCCTGTCTGACACAGAGAAGACATGATGGATATCAGAGCTGCACTCATGTACCAAAGCTAGCCAGTCCATAGCATTCAGGGTTTTTTAATGTTTGTTTGCCTAATTGTAGCCCCGAGTGGACAGCTGTGATATTTTTAGGACAGCAGCAGCAGAATAGAGGAGCGAGAATCAGTGTGGAGCTGTGTATATTTTAGCAGAGTTCATCCCCAGGGAGTTGTGTTTTGCTGATCTCTGCGCTCTCCATCTGAAAGCAGAGGAAGGTCTCATGAGAGACTCCCTTTTAGGGGGTTGGGACTTAACTTTCTCCCCAGGTAGCAGTAACACTGATATATTACTTTTCACAAAATCTTTATGCCTCAAGTTTTTTAAAGAAAAAAATATTAAAAGAGATTACAGATCAGGGCATGAAGGGCTTTATTAGTTTAAAGGGTTGTAAATTTGCATCCCAAGTATGTGTTTTATTCTTTTTCCTGTGCTCATAATCTAAACAGATTCACTGTCCAAATTGAGGATTTATCAATCCTTTCCTTACCTTGCTTAGGGTCTTTACAAGGCATAGATTTTGCTTATCTTTGTAAACAGAAGAAATGTCTTACTGCTTCCCTTTTCAGCTTTCTGATCCAATGAAGTGCAGATGCAGAGGAGTTCTCAGATTCCTCTTGGGAGGCACTTGGGAGTGCCTAGTGTTACTCCAGGCCAGGTGCAGGATCTGACATTTCACTTGTTAAATTTCATCCCATTAATCACTACCCAGTGTTCCAATCTATCTAGATTCTTCTGTAAAGCCTCCTACAGAGTCAACAGCACCTCCCAGTTTGGTGTCACCAGCAGACCTGTTAATGGTGTGCTCAGCTCCTGCATCCAGGTTGTTGATAAATACACTGGCTCTAGATGTGAGCCCTGAGAAACTTCCCTGCTCACTAGCCAGATGTGGTCCCTTTCACTGCAGCCCTTTGAGCTCTGCCTGCCCTTCACCCATCAGGTTCATCATGAACCTGCTCATCCCACTGTCAGACAACTTGTCCAGAAGGGTGCTGTGAGAGACAGTATCAAAAGCCTCACTAAAATCCAGAAAAACTACATCCACCTCCTTCCCCCTTCATCCAGCAGGCAGCGACCTTAGCACAGAAGCAGATCAAATCAGTTAAACAGAACTTGCCTTTTGAGAACCCATACTGACTGTGTCTGATGAACTGCATTATTCTTTAAATGCTTTTTAGTAGTACACAGTATAACCTTCTTCATTTTTCCACTTAACATTTTATGAATTAACTTCCAGCTAAGTAAGTTTTGTTTAAAATTATTTGTGTATTATTTTGCTGAGCCTTTTATTATTTTAATTAAGTTTTTGCATCTTCTTGTCTGTTTGGAGGAGTAGCTTTAACTTTTGCTGAATTAGGTCACAGTTATCCAAACTTACCAATATAGCAATAATAAATTTTACAGTCTAAGTTGACTCCTTGACATCTTCATGACAATCAAAAGTAGAAATGGACTCAAAAACTACCCATATGGCAGCAGCTAAATCTTGACAAGCACATCTCAGAGAGCAAACAGGAATGTCTTGCAGAGATGTGGAACATCAAATATCCCATAATCAGGCAGCAGCCAGCTGGTGGGGTTAGCTACTTCATGTGCAGCTAGAATACAGTTATTTTTAACAAGTGGCACAAAGACTTCAGGATGCATGTACAGAAGAGGATAAGTTTTGCAGGAAGTCCTACAGAGACCTACAACAGCAAATACACTTTTTAATCACATGCCTGGTAAAGAGATAAGATGTTGGGGGATTGCAAAGCAAATTTGCCACAACATTTTTTATCATTTCATTATCTATCACTGGATAGAAAATATTCAGGCTATATTACATTTTTAAAAATTTACATGACCGCTTGCTATTTTCCCATCATGGTGCTTACCTTACCCTAGGATGGATGTGCTCTGCTGGAGAAAGCACCAGGTGGCTGCTTCATTTGTTGCAGCAAGTGCGAGGTCAGTGAGGTGGGATCACAAGATAGGGGTTACAAGGCTAAGGGTCATTGCTGCCTGGGAGAACTGACAAGACCAGGAAAATCATGAAGCTAAATCTTTCATGTTACTTTTTTCCCTGTAGTTTCTTTCTGTTTGATGTGCAAAAGGCATTCCAGTTTGTAGGGCTGAGGACTCAGAGCTGATGGCTGAG